ACATGAGTTTGAGTCACTTTTGTCGTTTACTAATTGATAGTTTAAAAAGTATATTTACATTAATTATAAAAAAAATTATTAATTTTACTAAAAATATGAGTTTTAAGTCAATTTTGTGGTTTACTCATTGATAGTGCAAGAAATATATTTACGGTAAACATTAAAAAAATTATTAATTTTACTAAAAACACGAGTTTTAAGCCAATTTTGTCGTTTACTTATCTATAATATAAAAAAATATACTTACATCATTTATACTGTAAACGTTAAAAAGATTAATAATTTTACCAAAAACATGAGTTTTCAATTATTATTTTTCGTTTACTTATGTAAAAAATATAATTACATCACTTATACGGTAAACATTAAAAGAATTTATTGAATGTTATTAAAAGTCTCGTGACAAAAAAGCTTATCTTTTTTTCACATATACAATGACACAGAGATATAGTTTCCTACACGTTTAAGGAAAAGCCAAACTTATACAGAGTATTATTTTCGTCGTTTCATAATTCCGTTACGTAGTGAGTCACACAAGTTTTAAGGATTATACGTCATCTTTATAGATGTTCATGAATCGGTTTGAGTCCATTGTTGATTAAATACTATTAACGTAATTTTACTCGATGTAACAAGCCACCTGTCACAAAAATATATCCATGCTTCTAATAAAATTATATCCACAAAATATTTTCAAATGACCTGATAATGTAAAAAAAAAAAAAAAAATTTATAAAGTTTAAATAGCGTAGACCACAAATTTATTGGGTCACGATTAAAGCGTGTAAACTTTCTATGACATGACGGTATACGAAATAATTCTGTTTGTTTAGATAATGTCTTTTTACGTAATTCAACAAAGTGACAAATCCTTTTAAGTATGAAAAGGATTAGTAAAGGAATCTTGAAAAATTGCAAAGGGACCATATCATAAGTTGTTTAATAAATCTTTTCTCGAACTAACTTACATTCAGATTAATTTTTTCGAATCAACCTAGATTCATCTCGATTAATTTTATGAGTTATATTCAACTACGACATTTTGAATGTTCTTATTCATTATTATTAAGCCATAATGAAGGAAGAAAGCAATTTCATCCCCTTTCCCCAAAATAAATTTGATATCCCAACGTCCACTAATATAAAAGTAAACACTAATTTATATGTTAATTCTGAAAAAAGAATGGAGTTGATTTCTCCATCACTCAACTGGTAATAGTAGTTATTATCTTAGAATATCATTTTCTCGGTTGAAAAAAATTAGAATCAACAGAAGTATTAGTTGAATGACTATCCTAGAAATCAACCTAAAAAGAACAGCTGAGAAACCACTTCCACAACCCCATAACCTTCTATTTTTAACAAGTATTCTGTAACTTTTGATAAGCATTACTAAGAAAAAAGAATGTATTTCCAACTTTTGTATCACAATCAGTGTGGTCTAAACTAAAAAGGGAGCGCCAAGTGCAGTAAACTCCCGCAGTTAATTTAACTACAACTTCCGCTTTTAAGGTAACAGTCCGAAAGGATACTTATTCCTTCTTGCCTCGAGCAATATCAACAAGATATCTATTCAAATGCTGACCAAAAATCTTGGTAGAGAATGACTCAGCAACGTGTTGACGAGCGTCTTGCCCCATTTTTTCAGACATGTGAGGATCCTGAATAAAATTAGACATTGCTGAAGCAAACTCTCGTGGGCTAGGGTCACAGAGGAAGCCCGTCACGCCATGTTTTACTGTCTCCACTGGACCCCCACTATTGCAGGCAATAACAGGTTTATAGGCTGCCATTGCTTCCAAAGGAACAATACCAAAATGCTCATCCTACTCATTCAAAAAAGGAATGAAAATGTAATCCTACTTTCAAGGTGAAAATAATATGGGAAAAAATATAGATGGTCCTTCTAACAGCATACTCCAAGGTAAGACGAACATTCCTCCAACAAATCACTCTCAAGAATAAATGTTTCTTTTCCTCATTGAAGAGATAGTAGAATCATGACATACCTTTGGTGTATAAAGAACACATAGGCATTGGCCAAGGAGTGCATTTCTCTCAGCAGTAGAGCAAGATGTGATGAATCTGACACGCTGAGAAACACCTTCCCTTTCTGCCAACTTTTTCAGTTCTTCTAGATACTCGACATTCTCTCTAAGGCGATTATCAAAGCCTCCTGAAATAAAAGCAGGAAGAACTCTATTAGCATGCAGGAAGATTTCTTTTGAGTATATATTCAGCCACTGATGGTAGACAATAGGTATCTTGGACTCGTTTATTGAAGCATACTTCAAATTCATCTATTCAAGGTATTAAGGTAACATAAGAAAAAAAGAGGGCTTATCATCAAAGGAAGACAAGCACCGAAAAAAGTCCTATAGCTAGCTTGATTAATAACTAGTAGCATCTGATTTTTATATAGTTTCAGGGCACTAAATATCCTTATCATTTACATGAGATCAGACAGGTTCATATATCTTATTGGCTCTCGATAAACTCCGCAAAACCTCTAACAGAATATCAGAAACTTCTGCATTAAAAACAGCAAGATAAATAATGCAAATCAACCATACAATATGAATACCAACAGCAAATAAAAGAGATGACAGAAGCAAAGCAGAGAACAAGAAAATGTTGGTGGATAATGCAGCATACATTGAACTTGAAGAACTGAAGAAACTTGCCTGCAACAGTCAAGGAAACATCATTCATGTTAACTCCTTGATGATCATGGACTTGATGGGCGTGAACCATGGCAAAGGCAGATATTGCCAATTCTATGTTCTTTTTTCTCTCAAATCGATTGATGGATAGAAATTTCAGCCTAAAACAAATGAACAACTGAAGTTATCACTGTATTGCTCGAATTTTATCAGATGCCCCTCCAAGAGACAAATGAATAACTGAAATGATACTACCATCTAATATATTAGTTGTGTTTCTTTGAGCTCTATGGAGTAACTTTCTCTCCACCTCCCTACTATCCCTCCCCTCCTCACTCCTTTTTAAGAGCACATGGAAGGGCAGGAACTCCAGGGCAGATGCATTTGAAAATTAAAGATCAAATATTGAAAACTGTTGTGTTATTGCAATCAGACCTCGAACTATAAGGTACCAAGAGATGGAAAGGTGTCTCTTACTTGATGGCATCAGGTTTCTCAAACTGATCAACATTGACAGCTGGATACAAAACAGCTGGTTTAATCCCACGTGCATCTAGGTTCTTGAAGGTTGATGCAAAAGTAGATGCTGTAAACCTGCTGTTAACCAGAATCAAATCTGCCATTCCTATAGTTTAACCAAGCAATCAAAGAAGAAGCAGATGTTTGAACAGATAAGAAAAAACAAGTAAAACGACGATAACAGATAAACAAACACCACGGACAGAAGGCAGACTGTCAACAAAAACCTGTTGTTATTTCTTCTATGAAGTCAATAGGTTTCCGATATATCCTCCTAAGAATAGTTGTACGTTGCGCCAGCAAAAGATCTGGAAAATGGCAATAGAATACAACCTGCATGAGGTATAAACTTCATATATCTCAATGATCATATCATAGCAGTTGATTTCATCAAATCCATCAAAATACCTTAGCAGACTTCTTTAACTTCAATATCGGAACAACAACAGAGACTTGATCTGCTAGAATTATATCAAATGAAGGCCACATAAACAACAAGCAGAGAGCAACAAACATGCACCGCAAGTAAGCACATACTGCATGAAGCCGATAAAAGATATGTCGAGGAAGAAAAGCACCATAAACTGTAATATCAAACACACCTGTAAAGTGGTATTCCCATCAGTAAGGGCACAAATGGATGTTTGTTTACCATATGACTAGAGTATAGAAAGTAAGATTTCTAACCAGACAGAGTCTCCTCAAAACATCGATTTTTATCATGATGTGAAGTAAAAATGTGAACTTTATGCCCTAAAGAAGCAAGTTCCATAGCAGCATCAACAATTAGCCTTTCAGCTCCACCTAAACATGATAAAATATGCTTCAATTAACCAATAGATCTGCTCATTGATGCAAATAATTATTATACCCAATCTTTTTTGAAATTTATGATCTTCCACCAATAACTCATTTTGATCAAGAATTCAACAAATTGAAATGATAAACAGATCTACGAAAGAAATATAATTATGTGTAGATAATAATTTACCGATTCCGAGATCGGGATGGATTATCGCAATATTCATCTTCGAGCTCCCTTTTTTCTCCATTGTTGTTTATGAGAAAAAGCGGGTGCAGGGGAAAATAGAGATAACAAACGGGTCGGGTCAAAAGCCGGAGATTGTTGAAGGAGAAGAGGTGGCGGATAAAGTCATCCGACTGCTTTACTTCGCCGGCGCTGGATGCAAAGTTACACTTTTAGTCCGTCGTAATTTTTTTAAAAAAATAATATAATTTATAATATTCTCCTTATACAATTTGAGAAAATATTCTTTATTTTCTGAAAATTTTTGTTTCAATAAATAATGCCATGTAAATTAAATTAAAATGAAAGGAATGTTTTTTCTTTGTTGTTGTCGTTGGGTTGTTTTCTAGTAGGGTGCACACGTTAAATATGCTTAAATAAAATCAAAAGGGTTATTTAAATGGTAAATATTTTTCATTTTAATTTTAAATTATGAATTTAAATCACTAAATAAGCAAAAGGGAGCTCCTAGGAGAGAGTAAATACACAAAAAAGAAAGTGAATATGAAATGTTGAGTGAGAATTAAGAGATAGATTATTACTCCTTCTATCCAAGCTACCCAATTAGATATCATATACTATAAATCAGAATAATTAGTAATTAAAATATGATAAAAGCATATAAAAAAACTGTTATACAAAAGAATATTTAATTAATTATTGAAATTTGTAAGCAGTAGTAGAAATGTAGCAATTTTATGTAATCACCTTAAATAAGGGGAAAGGGGAAGAGAAAATTTACATCATACTCTCATATATGGGAAGGGACGAGAACTAGAATAATTAAAGACTTCAGCAAAATATAATCAATTCGAATTCAACATCGTCATAATGAACATAAACTAATCCAAGAAAGAAATAATGTGATTAGCTGCTGAGGAACATAATACTGAACTAGGTAAATTTGTATAGTATATAAGTGTGTCTAACTAGTACAAGGCTCGATAACAAAAATGCTAAGTTGCGACAGCTATTCTTATACTTCAAATCTACTAACTGCAGTGCAAAATAGAAAGCTATATTCTTTTCAAATGTTGTAAGTTGTAACACATTGTATGACGTATGGAAAACTTTGCAGACACATATCTTCATTGCTGAAAATGTCTGCCTATACTCTGATCAAACGGCTAGCCAATAGCCAACCGTTAGAAGCTTTATACGTGCTGATCCTTGCTAGAATTCCAGCTAGGGGCCTGAGCAACAACACTATCTGGTAAATTGCCAGAGCCTTTTTCAACATTTATTAGAGGATCGGTTTCACTTTCGTTTACCTTCAACCACAGAAACAGAGAGAATTAGTAAATCTATGTTCTAAATGCACAAAGGAAAGATGATAATAAAACACAACCCCACCAGCTTCTGGAACTGTGACATTCGGTATAAGCACTAGAAGAGTAGTGGTTTAAAATGAAGGGAGCATAAGGTTTTAGAGTTTACTTCTCTTCCAGATCTGCCTCTCCCATGACCCATGCCACTAACTAATTAAACCATTTTGCAAGTTTCCTTTTCTTTTCGTCTAGAAGTGCAGTGTAATGAGGTGACAAACAATGAGGTAGTAAAGGGAGCACAAGGATTTAATGACAACTTTCTTCTAGATCTGCTCCTCTAACGAGTTATGCCACTAACTAAACCATTTCAGAAGAAATATTGCAAATCTAGTACTAGTGTAATGAGCTTGAATGAAGGGAGGTAGTCTTGGCCACTATTGAACATCGTTAACAATCATCTTGCAAATCAAGATACTGCACAAGTTGGTGTATGATAATATAAAATACCTTTTTTGTCTAGAACAATGTGGAACACAAAAAAACAAAGGTGTAATACCTGAGACAGAAGTGAGGTAGCGTCTATAGACTTCTGCTGGCTCTCAATGGAACAACAATATGAATAGAGTATCATCCCAAGCATAGCAATGACGATACCCAGAATGTTTCGCCAGCTGAAGGGATCACGAAGTAGAACATACCCAAAGGCCAAAACAAGACATGTTTTTAGATGCCCAAGGACCTGATAGGTGACTGGAGAAGTCTTGCCAATTACCAAAAAAGTACTGAAGTTCACAGAGACGGATATAAGGCAGGATAGAACAATAAAGGCCTGCCATCAACACCTTAAAGTTAACAAATAGTGCTAAATGCTCATATCTAGCTTAAAATTGAAAATGATTTTGTAACTTACCACCACATTTTGTGTGTAGTTGAAAGCAAATACATTCTGATTTGTCAAAAGCCCATCTAAAAATGGTCCTACTACAAACAAAGTAATTGATTGATAAGGACAAGACTGATACAGGAGCTGGGTTGAAGAAACCTTGAACTTCTTCTGGATGGTATTCGTCATCTAAGAAGATGGGTTAAGATATCCAAACAAGAGAAGATATAATGTAATAGCTGTGAACTATAGGTCCAACATCATTTTCTAACACATACAAAACAACTTCCAAAAAGATTTGAAGTCTTATTTGCCACAAAATAAGGTTGCTAAACTGGGGATTTATGAAGTAAGCAGAGCCAGTAAGGGAAAGAACTTAAAAAAATTGATTGACCATACAGCAAAGGATACAATCTGCGCGATACAAGTGGTGACAATTGCAAACATAGATAAAACAGAACCCAGTAAATTGAGCTGCAAATCAGTTACTGTTGCAATTCCAACCCCAAAGAGAAGAACGGTAAGTGCAAGCTGGATATTCCTACTGCAAGTCATAGTTGAGACAGGAATCAAATTGTTACTAAAAATGTACAACTAAAAGGATAATTCCATAAATGCTCAAGCAAAAGAGTAAATGAATGCAGAATGTAATTTAGATAAAAGTATCAATTTATAGGGCAATAGCATCACTCCAGACCAAGAGATACATAGAGGTTGCTTGGGTCAAAATTGTGGAGCCAAAGAAGCTCTTTTTGTGCACAGAGATACTTCACTTGAGTAAAAATTTCTCTTCATGTGCACTCACCTTTCAGATAGTTCCCTCACTTACTGCTCCATTACTATTACATTTATCTGATAATCCACCAGTCACTTGCAACCTTAAAATTGTGTCTAGCTCAGCCTTAAATAAGTAGTCAACAGTTGAATTAAACAAGAAAGACTTAACTTGAAAAAGAGTTCCATCCATGTTGACAAGGATGTTTCTGAACATTGCATAAAAATAGGACAAACTATCTAAGAGTGATAAAACCAATAAAAAAAAAATTAATAATAATAGACAATGTGGAATGGGTTTTTAAATTATCAAAGACCCCAAAATAAGCAGAGATGGCTTGGCTCCAAGAATCTTAATGATCAGTAACATTTTAAAGGAACATACATATATCAAAAGCACAACTTGTCAATAAAACTTGGTCTTCCACTATCTCATTTAACCATGTTGGCTCAACCTTTAACTATGGATGATGTGGCCATAAATCTAGTATAGAAACGATTGTATATGGGAATTATGTTATACCTCTGACATTCAACTTTCTAGATAACAAGACATAGGGTTCAGACTCTTATTGTTCCAAGAAATTACTTCTGGTTTGACGGTTCAAGCAAACCACATGTTGACAATTTTATTCTCCAATGTAATGTTCCAAGCTTAATAAAATGAGATAAGATTCCTATGTTTGATATGCTTGGAAGAGAAAATTTCTCAAAAATAGATGTTAAGTTAATGTAGTGTGATCCTCTATCTAACTAGTGTAACATAACTGATTTTTTAAGAACTTTTTGTGGAAAAAATAAAGACATCGTTACGCCGGTATGGAATTAGTCGAGGTGCGCGAAAGCTGGCCTGGACACCACGGTCATCACAAAAAAAAAGTCATTTTGAGAAAGTCAAGGTTGAGTACTTTTACCTGAATTTTTTCCTGAAGAAAAGAGTCTCCAAAAGAACTGTACAGGGGATGATTGCTAATTTTGTCATCTAAAATGCAAAAAAATGAAGAAAATCAGGAAAATAAACTGCATTTTAGATTCTAAAATCAGTTAGAAACTAAAAGGCTTGGTTTGTAGAGACAACTTAGAATTGAGTTTGTGATGAATGTTCGAGACCGATAGGGAACAAGAGAATCTCATCACATTATGTAAAGACTAAAGTAGTTTCCACAAAAGGGAAAAAGTTTGCTGCCCCTCCCCAATAAACGAAAATAGAAAAGAACCTTACAGTTCAGCTAGCTATGTATGTTGATAATTAATTTCATAATGATCATTAAGCATTTCATAATAAGATTTTTGTAGAACATCGTCATATGAATAATTTAAGGTTACAGTGGAACAAGTTGCAATTTCTAGTTTAGATCTTATAAAACCTAATACTCCAAACAAGTAATCACCAGAAAACTAATTTATGAGGAAAAGCTATCCCAGTGGATACATTGCTATACCTTGAAATATAGTTCCAGAAAAAGGGGACAGCAAATGAGAATAAAGATTAAAGGGGGAGGAAGGGGGTGGAGGGGGGGGGGGGGGGAGAGAAGATCTTATCCAGATAAATCACTATTTAAGGCAGCCAGGATCCCAGGTAAAGAACATTCAAACCAGATAGTCATTAACAGCAAAAAGGAAAAGGAACAAACCTGATAAAATCCAACAGAATTGAATCCCAGGCTTAGATTAAGAAGTCCAATAGAGGACCCATTCAGTATTCCAAAGCCCATAACGGCTTTTGGATCAAAAGGCTTGTGCTCAAAAAATCTCATCCATCTTGCCACATGGAGCGAACAAAATGTAACTAAAAGATGCCAGCTTGTCAAAGTCGTAGCTGAGAAAAAAATTTAAGAAGTTAGAGACTCAAAGCAGAATAATATAAGAAATAAAAATTTTCTTTAATGAGGTTTTGCAGGTACCAAAATAGAAGTGTCAACAAATCAACAATCCCCTGATCCAAATTGGATCATCCTTTTCCCAACTCTCTATTTCCTTATCCTTTTTTTTATAACCAAAAAAAAAGTGTCAACTGACAACCAAAATTTATTTTAGATGCGAATGCGCAATATCTAGAAGTATTCCATTATGTTCTAACTTTTGTTTAACTAAATGCAAACACTGGCACATGATTTTGTGTTCTCTCGTTCTTTTTTGGTACATTTGATTCTGTGTTCTCTTCTATTACTGCTCGTATGCCATAAGCCAAATTCAACAACTGTCACATAGAGTTGTTTTACATTAAGGGAATAGAGAAAATAATTGCATAATGACTAAATAGAGCACAAACATGAGAAATAACTAAACCAAATATTTGAGCTTGTTCTGGTCCCTACTAATTACATAGGTGAACCCATTTTTCAACAGAGAATATTGACGTTTACTGAATCACATTCACCCAAACAACAACTATCTATGCCTCAATCCCAAGCTAGTTGAGGTCGGAACATTCATCCCAATCGAAGAAACGAGACAATCTTAGAAACTTAGAAACTTCCTTGCACAAGCTCTTAGTGAATCTCGTAGAACCAGGTTAAAACAATCAATGAATGAATCAACTATCCTTCAATCCAAATATTTGTTATTGGCTATATGAAATCCTCTATGTTGATTATCCTCTATTTCGATGTATCAGCTAAATCATCTTTTAAGGTAAACTAAATACTATCAATTACAAAGCAGGTGCCTAATTTCACGAAGCATGTAAGCAATTCACTTGTAAGATTAGTTATTACACTAATGAACATGAACAAAAGAAAAACAACAAAACACCATCCATTATTTGCATTACGAAAAAAGTTATCAAAACTCACCAAATGTAAAACCTAATGTGCTAATTAGCGCCTTATTGCAAATTACAATGGACACAGAAGACACCACCGACAAAGTCAGTGCTCCAATGGTCCCCAGCTGAAACCTCTGGCTTTCTGTCATTTTCACTCCTTCTCCAATTCCAACTTCAAAATCTACACATCAATAAAAATTTTCATACATAAACTTAAATACAAAATCATCTCACAATTTGACAAACGAGTTTTTTTTTTTTTACCTTATCGCAATCGTGCGTCCATGAATCATACAAAACCAGCTCAGCTGAAAACAAAACGTTCAAATATATTAAAAAAACGAGATGTATTCAACGACGATATATACAGATCCAAACACGAACAACAAATTCAATAAAAATGCAGAGAAATTATAAAAAAAAATTAAGAATATGTTAATATATGAAGAAGATTACCAAAATGCAAAATCATAGATCTGATACTTCATAGAAAAACTGAATCATTTTTTCAGTGTTCATACGATTATACGAACAAGTAAAAAGGAGAGAGAAAAATGGAGGAAGAAGATGAACCTGTAAAGCTTCGGATCACGAAAATGGACAAAGTGACAAAGGCGCTAAGTGTTCGATAGAAGTTGAAGCATTATTGTTATTAGAATTAGAATGAGAGCGAAGAAAATTGCACCACTAATATTTATACCTTTTTTTAATTTAATAATTAAATTGGTGACTTCTTAACTGAATTCCTGCTAGCTTTATCCTTGCGAGACATGTGATTGTGCCAACGATTGGGGTAATATGTATTAATGAAATATTTAGAAAAATTAATTAATTATGATATGAATAGCATTTGCTAATATGTTTTATTATTAGTTTTGATAAGATATAAATTTTTAAATTTATTTTAATTAGAATTATATCTTTAAATTTTTTAACTGAATTTCAATTAGCTTTTTTTATGCGGATCATGTGATTGTGTCTGTGAAAAGATTATATCCATGAAATATTTGAGTTGCAACACGAGTTGCACTTATATGATAACCTCTTGTCTTAAGATTGTGATTTGATTTACATAAATAAATTTATTACAAATTCATTATATGTTATAATCTCAATAATATGTAAAAGTTTAAATTTATTTTAATTCAAGTTAATATATAATTCAATAAAATAAAATATTGGAAGAAGATTTAATCGGTGTATAAGGAACATTGAAGTCTAACATTCACCACAAATTATTATTTAATATTAATAATAGTTAAACAAATATAACGCTTGGAAATAAAGACTTATTACATATTAGTGATTGAATGTAGACAATTCTATTACATTAATTGAAACATTACTACATTCATGGTTTCTCTTACATTAATTAATTAAAATATCTAGAAAATGAATCCAAACATATTTCAACATTCATTGCTTCTAATATGTAAATGCATTCCAAACATAATACTTATAAAATTAGAATTTCTAGAATACAAGTCCATCTTTGAAAAAAACAAATTATAAGAATTAATAAATATTAATTTTTATTTTTAAAGGTAAATAACTCTAAACACAATAAAGTGCATTATGTAACTTTCTTATATTATGAGGGTTAGATCGTAATATTATGTCAATTTTAGAAATTATATACATAAAATATTTAACTTTATGAAGAGATTATGAATTTACATTCCATATTTTTTCCCCTATAAATTCATTTGCGAATATTCTCATAAGTATTAAAATTTGTAATACATTTTGAATTGGTTTTATCATTTAAATATCAATTGTCCACCTTTATAATTTGAATGGTAAATATGTAAGAACCGTAAAGTACAAACATGAACTACTATGAAATAAATGATAAAATATAATTATCAATAATAATAAATAAAGACCGTCCACATCAATGGAATTGCTATATAAAACGAGTCTTTCCATTGTTATCTAACAACAGATATAACCTTATACAATACAAATATAATTTAGGTGGTGATCAAAACATACATTATATTTAAACTAATAATACTTTCCCGTTTCATTTTATATGTCATTCTTTATTAAAATAGTTGGTCCATAATACTTTGTCATTTCATAAATCAATGCATAAATTATCATATTTTTTCTTTTTTATTCTTGTGAGTTATTAGCTTTGAAAATATGCATCTCACCAACTTAGAAAAGCCAAGTAAATGGTTCTTGTTTATTAGTTAAATTAATTAATCAAAATAAATTAATTTATATTTATTTATTGAAAATTTAAGTCTAAAAAAATTGATTAAGTATAAAGATAAAATTACATTATTTTTAAATTCAAGTATAAAGTAAAAACATGACATATAAAATGAACTAAAGAATTACAAATAACAACCATCCAAAAGGTGTTAAAATAATATTTAAAAAGAATGAGAATATTTAAATATTCTGTTATTCTTCTACTAGTTAACTAACTGTTCGTATACAGAAAATCAAATATATTTAATTATATAAATTAAGTGTTATCATTATAATTTATTTCAATTGTAGTTTATAGAAAATATTTTTTTTATCATGATTCGATATATAATTAGGCATTTTCAATATTTAATTAGTTATTTTATATATTTTTATATAAAATATATTTATGTTTGTATAAAATGATAGAAAAATATATATATAAATATATATATTTATATTTTCGTTATATACACTTATAATTATATATATATAAATATCATTATACAAATTACCAGATGAATTTACATAAACGTAATATAAAATTAAATGTTTGTGGCGTATAAAATATTCTGTTACAAATTACGAAACAGCGTAGTCAGGACTCGACGATTCTATTTGAAATTTGAATCAAACGAAGGAGCCCTATATATAATCGTAGCATCGCCGGAGTATATTGTTCAGAGCATTTATGCAACCGGCGAAGAAACCGAGGATCACCTGGCCCGACCCGAATATTGATTTCTTAAGGAACCCTAGCAATAGCTACGAAGGATTTTGGGTTTTTAGGGTTCCAGTTCATGCTTTTACGAATGGATATCGACACTGATATTTCTCATTGGATTCTCGAATTCATCCTCCGGCAACCGCTCGACGACAGCGTTCTTAACGGCTTCATTCACGTTCTTCCACTTCCAAACGACAAGCCGAATCTAAAAAAGGCGCTGCTTATCCGAAAAATCGAATCTGAGATTTCTAACGGTTCAGTTAATGAGAAAATCCTCGATTTTCTGGAGCTGATTGAGGAACTAAATCATCAAGATGGGATTGAAGCTTCAGAGGTTATGAAAGCTGCGTATTGTGCGGTGGCAGTGGAGTGTACGGTGAAGTTTCTGAATAGTGAAGGGACAGGAGGTGATAAAGGTAAGTATTTTGACGCAGTAAGGAGGATATGGAAAAGGAAAATCAATTTAACGGAGAAAATAGAGAATGTAGGGTTTGTATCGGAAGAGTTATGGAATTGGAGGGATGAAATAGAGGCGGCTTTATGGGATGATAAGTGTTCTTACAGTGTGATAATGAAGAGTAAAGCCGTAGTTGCTGTTGAGTCGGTTAAGTTTTTTGTTAGAGAAGCTAAAGAGAGAACGGGGTCTCCTTTTCTTGATGTTGTGGCGGAAGCTTACCAGTCTGATGAGACAATGAAGACACTTTTTGGAGGGTTGAACAAAGAAGGAGCTCGCCGGGAAAATAACAGAGGTAGTGTGTTATTAAACTCTATGATAAGATCAAAATTTGGATGATAAATTTGTACCTATTATCTGCTTATTTCTCCAGTCCATGAATGATGACCAAATTCTGTATGTTGGTGTTAAATGCTGAATTATGTGTGTTTTATCTGTAGTTAATATGGGCACTCTTGATTAGATATTATAAAGGGGAGTACTTTTGACATTTCTTAGTAAGACCATTATCAGTTTATCCTTATTAAGGGGTAAAGGGTTAACTTTTGACATTTTGCTTGCTGAACTCGTATAAATCTCATGAGTTTTATGTTTAGATGATTGTTTTTCTGCTTGCAGAAGTGTCCAAAGGAACTGCATTGCGCAGGAAGAAGCATGTTGCTTTCAAACGCACCAGAGAAGGTGTCAGGATCAATGATTCTATTGAGTTAGAACTTAAGGCATCTGGTGGAGGTGGACAGGATGGTTTACCCTCTTCCGCCGAAATACAGAAAGCAGAGAAAGCACTTAAATTGAGTTCATTGGAGCTGCGTGCTATGGTAAAGGATCCTCTACCTGAGGCACTACGTTATGCTGAGACTCTGTCTCATTTGGCAAGGGATAATATGGGTCATCAGCCTGCTGGGAATCGCAGTGACAGAGCCCCTCCTCCAATGTACTCCAGTAGCAGATTGTTTCAAGCTAGTGGGGACAAATGTGAGGCGCAGCATAATTTTCATCAAAGTGCTGCATCCAAGCCAGACCAAGTGAACCAAAACACTACTGCCAATCCAATTGAGGTATATGCATCAAAAAAAAATTTTGCCTCCACCTGCTTAAAAATACACAGTCAAATGCTCTGCTTCTTGGCATGTATTGATGCACAATGCTCTTTAGTATGCTCTTGAGTGTATAGTAACTTGAAGTCTTCAATGCAAGATAGTATTTGTTTATCCTCAAAATCAAAGCTTTACTAGCCTAGTCACTAAATGATTATTTGTAACCAAATCCGCAAAACTTTTTGCCAAGTCAAGTAATGTAAATATTCTTTGTATAGTAGAGATTAGAGGGGTTAGATCAGATATTAGCTCTAGATTTGGTTTTGCCAAAGGAATATTATAGCATAAACATTAAAGCATATTATTGTTTGAAAAAAATTGTCCTAGGCACCCAAACTTTATTTGAGAAAAATATCCAAATTGAGGGAAACGAATTTGTAATTTTATGTGTGCTAATGGAAACAAACGCTGAATTGTATACAGTTGGATGATTTCCTAGACAAGTTAACTGAAGGATCACCATCACCAAGTAAAGCGAATAGGGCTACATTACCTACGCCAAAGACGGTGAGAGTTTCTCCCCTGAAGAAGTATGAATATAAAAAGATCACCACAAGGAGAAAGGTTACGAAATGGAGTTCGCTGGAAGAAGAAACTTTGAGAGCTGGTGTACAGCAGTATGAAGCATCTCTTACTTCCTCTGATTTTAAAGAAATAACGACACAAGGTTTAGTGCTCTAATTGTTTTCCTTTTTTTTTTTTGTAGGTATGGTATTGGAAACTGGAAGTTCATCTTAAACACTTATCCTAACATATTTTCAGCGAGGACAGCAGTAAGTGTTTTTTGATACTACTACTATTTATAGACTGGTCTTATATTACTCCTACTTATGAAGTCTAAACAATTTTGTGCAGGTTGACTTGAAGGACAAGTGGAGAAACTTGATATCGTAGGTATTTATTTTGAAGAAATTTCGCTCTTGTATGAGAGCCTTTTGTTTTCTTAAGCAGAGGTATGGCCTTGTATATTTTTTTGTATCATGTAAATGTCAAGCTTCCTGTGTATTTTGTTAGATACGTAAACTTCAGATGAATGTTATTGTACATCATGTCTTTGTGGAGAAAGACATATTTACTCTAGAAATAGTTGCTTTTTTAGGTCCCTTGTATGACTGATTTAAATCAGTGGATACAAATTGCAAGCTAAAGGATAGTAGTTAATGGTAAAACACAACAAAAACTGTCACCTTTTTTGGCGAGTTTCATACCTCAACCCTCTATTGTTCTATTTACCTGTCTAAACCATCA